ACAAAAGATATGTTAATGCCATTCACACCTCAAATTCCTCATGAAGACCCCCTGCCAGGTGACCTTAATGACTCCCTCCACCAGACACCTTTCCCACCCTTGGAAACAAAAGAAATGTTAATGACCATTCACACCTCAAATTCCTCATGAAGACCCCCTGCCAGGTGACCTTAATGACTCTCTCCACAGACACCTTTCCCACCCTTGGAAACAAAAGAAATGTTAATGAGCAACTCACACCTAATTATCTTAACACATACTGCTGTCTCTGCTTCTGCTCTCTGTATTTTTCTGAAACAGTCTGAAATAGTTAATGATTTACCACTTTTCAGTGCATTCTGGGCAATTGGGTTCTCCTGTGCTTATCTTTGAAAAAAACACTTTTAAACGCAAACGCACATAAACACGAATAAACGCGCATAAACACGTTATGCAAACGTGGCTAAACAGATGTTTTTTAACCTACATTTTCCAGCAGTCAGTTTCCATCGTTCAGAAGTGTCCCGTGCACATGGGGCCTTAGCGGCTGTCAGCTTGTAGTTTTCAATGAACTACCACGGCAATGTGGTGCGCTGTGGTAGCTCACTGAAGATTCCAATCAGAATATCTGCTTCCTCGTACATCCCAAGCAGATATTCTGACAGGTCTGCAGGAGACCTGAATGGCATCAGTAATCTACTGATCGCTGGTGCAATGCTTTACAGGCTCCTGTAGCCAAAAATAATAAATGCACACTTTTTTACCTGCAAAAAATGTGCATTTATTATTTTTATCTAAAAGGTGAACTTATCCTTTAAGGGGGCGGACAGACAAAAACAGTGCATGGGTCTGCCAACCCAGTCATGATGAGTCCCTTGAACAATTAAGAAAACTGATGACTGGCAGGGGCGGACTGACCATTTGGAAACTCGGGCACTGCCCGAGGGCCCGGGGTCAGTAGGGGGCCCCATGAGATGCCCCTGGTACCTTTTTCATAGGCTTTTTTGAGTTTGGGCAAGGACACAGGGGCCCCATGATCCCCTATTGCCCGGGGGGCCCCATGAGTTGTCAGTTTGCCCCTCGTGACTGCATTTCTCAGATGTCAGTTGAGTTCAATGTGATTCTCGTAAAAAAAAGGACTTTATTGCAAAACAATTAGCCAGTTGGCTTTGCATCACACACATTGTAACCAACAGAGTGGAGATTGAAAAGGAATGCCTTGACATTGTGTATAAAGAAAATATAAATCTGGCAAGTATATACATGGAAAAAATCTTAAACTCATTAAGTCTGATCATAAATCGCTAGAAAGTATTTGCAAAAAATGTCTTCAAAACAATTACAGCACAAATGTTACAATAATATAAATACAAGCTAACATACCAAAAAAAAGAAAAATCCAAAAAGTAATGTAGACTTCTTATCAAGAGCAGTTCTAAAAGACACGTCAAAGGAGACGCCTCAAATTATAAAATATTTTCAATCCAAACCGAGGAATGAAGAAAAAAGATTGAGCAGATTAGCTTGAGTATTTAACCTCCCTAGCGGTCTGATTATGTCCATATTTCTGTGCTCAAAGCGGTACATTTTTTTGCATGGAAATATGTATTTTTTTTATTGTAGGCCTGTAATTTTTAGAATAACTCACTGAAATCTGTCTGAACAAGAGTCTAGTAAACATCCCGGGTATGTTAAAATTTGAAACATGAAATCATAAATTATAATTTAATAAATAATCATAAAAAATAATAATATAATAATAATAATAAATGTAATTCAATAATATAATCAAACCAAAAACACTAAAATTTGAAATATAGCGCCAAGTTCGCACATTGCTGAGCAAAGTCGCAAAATCGTTTTCAGTGTCTGATGACGAATTTCCCCACGAATCATTATCAATCACTCAATTCTGCAAGTGGTTCTAATTTACTATCGCTGTTCTTCTAGCTGGTCTAAAACCAATTTTGACCTAAAGGTACGCTTTTTGGACGCCATGGTCGTTTCTCAGTTTCCAGGCAGAAAGAACAGTAAAAATGCAGGCAGGGCACAGGACAAAACACTCAGGACAAAATGTATGTGAAATGGTTTGATACAGTAATGTTTTACTATGTGATTTTAGTGAATTTAGTGAATGTCACTTTTTGTCATTTTCAAATTTCCCGCCGTTCTATCCCCGTACGTCCTGACGTCGCAGGGGACGGAACCCGGAAGACAGATGCCGACATCGGCTGGAAGACATTACAGGGGACACTGCAGGAGGGACATTGCGGGAGCGAAGGACAAGGTAAGAGAAGAACAGACCCCAGAGCAGCGCCGCATGGTAAGCCCGAGTGTAGCTTGAGTGTTACCACTTTTGGTACTGAAACTTTACCCCGAGCTACACTTGGGAATACCGCTAGGGAGGCTACAGGTGCCTGACACCAGACTGCAACAAATGCAGCTCTACACTCAGCAAGATAAAAAGATGCAGTCATCAAAATCAACTAATCTATTTGGATGGCCTGACCAAATGGGAAATACATCGACTTGTGTTAGAATCTACTGGGATTTTAGAGTTTAGAGATGATCAGTATACAGACTGGGTCATTATAGACAAAAATGTGCCCAGAAACAACTCGCAAAATCCAATCAAGTTAGCTAGGTGTCAGGGGCAGACTGACAACTCATGGGTCCCCCAGACAATAGGGGATCATGGGGCCCCTCTGTCCTTGACCAAACTCAAAAAAGCCTATGAAAAATGTACCAGGGGCATCTCATGGGGCAACCTACTGACCCCGGGCCCTCGGGCAGTGCCCGAGTTTCCAAATGGTCAGTCCGCCCCTGCTAGGTGTAGATGCATGGAAAACCAAAGATGTGCAATTGTGGCCACAAATGGGTCCAGATATAACTGCAGCAATAAATCACATAACCAATTGCTTTCTGAAGGATCAGGAAGGAATTTTTTCCCCTGCTGGAGCAAATTTGATAATTCTATAGGGTGTTTTTGCTTTCCTCTACATCAATTGTGGGTATAAAATTCTGTATATGGTGGTTTGCTATTTTTTTTTTTTCTATTGGTTGAACTGGATGTACATGTAAATCATTCAACCTGACTAATTATGTAACTATGACTGGGGCAAGCAGCATTTTGCGCAATAGCACACAGTCCATTTGGGACTTTTTTCAAGTACAGATTATGCAGCACCCAAGCAAGGCCACACAGTGAACACTAGACGTGCAGAATAAAAATATTAGTTTAGTTTTGCTTCGGATTAATTCATAAAGTTACTAATTGTTTTTAGTTGCAAAATTTGTTTATTTTTGTTTTGTTAATTCGTTTTCAACTGGATTCAAAGTTTCCAATGGATTAGAGGTATTCAAATCACACTTGAATCAAAAATATCGAATCGATCCAAATTCATTGTGAAGAATAACCAGTTTGATTCTATTCCAAATTCTAAATTTGAATTTCGGAGGATCACTATAGTCTTTTCATTTTATTCTATTCTATTTAAATTTTGGAAGACGGCTATATTTATTTTATTCAGTTTTTTTCTTTTCTATTGTATTATTTTATTTTCTAATCTATTCCTTCATTTTTTATTCTTTTCTATTCTATTTTTATCCTTTAGTTTCTGTTTTATTTTATTCTATTATTTTATATTCTTTTATTTTCTAATCTATTATGTTTTATTCTACTCTTTTCAAAATGTGCATTTCGGAAGATGGCTATATTCTAATACACACAGTCTTTGAAGGAAATCAGCAATAGTCAGCAATATGTTTACATTTCAAATTTGTTTTCGACTTTGATTTTGTTTTCTAATAAACTTTTAATTCAATTTTTGAATTTGATTCAAATTCAGATAATACACTTTTTTTGGACGAAATTTTGTTTTGTTAATTTGGATTAGTTTAAATTGGTTTCTATTGTAATTGGTAAATTTGTTAACATTTGAATAACAACAATTTTGTCTGAATTTGATTTGGAACGAAACAAACTGCACCTGTCTAGTGAAGACCTCTGGAGCAGGCAGGGGCGGACTGACCATTTGGAAACTGCCCGAGGGCCCGGGGTCAGTAGGGGGCCCCATGAGATGCCCCTGGTACCTTTTTCATAGGCTTTTTTAAGTTTGGGCAAGGACACAGGGGCCCCATGATCCCCTATTGCCCGGGGGCCCCATGAGTTGTCAGTCCGCCCCTGGGAGCAGGATTAATCAAGTGATTCACTATATAGGTTACACTGAGAGGGGAAATTAGAGTTTTGAAGGACAATGTCATTAAAGTGAAGTTGTCCTTTATATAAATTATGTTCTGAATAGGGATGTTCTATGGATCATGGAAGATCAAATCTTTTGTCTTCATTACTCTTTTGTTAATATTATGTGAATTCAGTGTCTTTGTTAGAAATATATCTAATATTGCTGAAATAATTTTACAAATAGCTAAACTACTGTAAGTAACAACAGCATACTACTATATGTTATACATTATTCAGTGTATCTGTTGTTCATGAGAATTAATTTTCTAGGTGAAGTAGGTTTAACAAGAAGTGAAGAGACACACCATATGTTAGACTCAGCAGACAAATAATGAAAGGGTACTTTTCTAATATAATTATATTCCATGTTGAGTGTCTTGTTGAAATGTTGCTTGTGTGCAGTTTCTACAACTATAATTTATCATAAAATGTTACTTCTTGGTTAGGTGTGGCATGCAACTGTTTTATAGGAGAAATAAAATTGTAAATTCAGAAATTGAACCAGGAACCCAAAATGCTCAATTTTATGGGCACATATATTTTTTGTAATTATTACACAAACATGATAGGGCGCATTCTCATGGGAAACTAGACCCTTAGTGGGAAACACCCTACTGAGTGATATAAAATAGAGCTCATTTGGACCAGTGTGTTGCCAGAAGCATTTGTTCCTCCACTGCACCAGTTGCCTGAAGTCATCATGAGCGTCAAGCTAAGCCACAAATCTTCATCTGGATCCCTTAGAGGACTAGGGAGTGGAACCTGTAGTGTCAATCGTATGTCCTCTGTACGCACAAGTGGATCTTACAGGTCTCCTAGTGTTCATGGTGGCTTTGGAAACAGAGTCATGGGCTCCTCCTATGGAGCTGGTGGTGTTGGATGTGCATCTGGTGGAAGCATTAGCTTAGGTCTAGGGGGTGCTGGAGGCTATGGTTCTGGCTTTGGATTTGGCAGTGGAGGTGCTGGAAGCTTTGGATCTGGATTTGGCCTTGGTGGAGGCTCCTTTGCTTCTGGTGGAGACAACCTTCTTAACATCAATGAGAAGGAAACCATGCAAATTCTCAATGATAGACTAGCTAGCTACCTGGACAAAGTCCGCTCCCTAGAGGAAGAAAATGCCCAACTGGAAAGGAAAATCCGAGAGTGGTATGACAAGCAAACTCCATACACATCTCCTGATTTCAATCCCTATTTCAAGACCATTGAAGATCTCCAAAACAAGGTATGATTATGGTAACATTCTGAATGACAATTATTAATTTATAAATGTGCAAGTGCCATATACTTTGTATGGGTTTCTTCTATATCTGACCATATCAACAATTTCTCTATCATATTTCAGATCATGCAAGGAAATGCTACAAATGCCTCTCTCTTACTCCAGATTGATAATGCTCGTCTAGCAGCTGATGACTTCAGAACCAAGTATGTTTTATTAAAACCTTTAGTCTTTTTATTAATATTGTCATGCTTGAATTGCAATCTTCAGGACACACATTACCTCCATTCATGGACACAGCAACAACATTGCCGATAACCTAATGCTGCATAAAAGTGGTTAAAAACTTTACTGCATATGTGTAATGCGAATGTGTAGACTACGCAATGTTTTTTAGATTTGCATGTTAAAGAGATTAACTAAATGTAAGTGATATTTTCATGTGTTTTTTAATGCTCTAAAACCTTGTTTCAATGCATAGTTTTAAATATAAATATGCACGGTGCAGCCATATTTACTCATTACATACACGGGCTCTGCTTTCTTTCATAGACAGGCTACTGCTCCTCACAAAAATGCAAGTCTATTAGTTAGCCAATATACTAAAAATAATATGTTTTTTCTGTGTCTGACTTTTTATTTAAACAGCCATATTAAATCTACTTAATAAATAAATAATATATCTACTATAATAATAATAATATAAACTAATAAATGTATATTTAATACAATAAAATAACTAAAGAGCAAGCACGTAAAGGAAGTCATATTTCAAAGATAAAAATTATGCAAAATGAGATTAAGGTAAATGTGGAAATAGTAAAAATGGTAAACCTGTTCTTCATATGCCCATATCTCACTGCATATACCACCATGAATTGCCTATTTTTCATAGACTGGACAATCCAAGGGCTTGTATTTTTAATGTATAGCCATATGTTTTAAAAGCATTATCAATAGAGTCCAGTGACATAATCTTTCTGACTATTGTCAATCTACATATACACTTTATGCCAGGGGGGGAACTGACAACTCATGGGGCCCCCGGGCAATAGGGGATCATGGGGCCCCTGTGTCCTTGCCCAAACGCAAAAAAGCCTATGAAAAAGGTACCAGGCAGGGGAGGACTGACAGCTCATGGGGCCCCTGTGTCCTTGCCCAAACTCAAAAAAGCCTAAGAAAAAGGTACCAGGGGCATCTCATGGGGCCCCCTACTAACCCCGGGCCCTCGGGCAGTGCCCGAGTTTCCAAATGGTCAGTCCGCCCCTGTTCTATGCATGTTGTATTGGTAGATTCTATATGAAATTTACATATATTTTACAAAGGCGATGAAACAACATTCAGGATATTTTAAAATAGGTAACTGCACACAAAATAAATGGCTTAGTAGGTAATTTACTCATCAGGGTTTTAGTTTATGATTGCTGACATGACAACAACACACATTTTTTTACCCAACAGATAATGCTTTTCCTAGGACTTCTCCATACAAGCAGGGCCTGAGTATATCTAGGTGCCATTGAATATCCTACTTATAGTATTTATTTTACTTATTCAATTTTACTTTAACAATATCATAAAACCTCCTTTCAGGTATGAAAACGAGGCCGCTCTCCGCATGGGAGTAGAAGCTGACATCAATGGCCTCCGTCGTGTGCAAGATGAACTTGCACTGAGCAAGAAAGACCTGGAAATGCAATACCATAACCTAAATGATGAGTTGACTTACCTAAAGAAAAATCACGAAGAGGTAATTGCCTTCTTCATTAAGTTTTTAAGGTATCAGCAGACTACAGGTAAAAAAAAAAAAAACACTGTTGTGAAGAGAAGAGTTTTAACAGTTTCTAAAGACAGGGCTACTTAGCAAAGTTTTGCCCAAATAGGATACAATGATGGAAAATCCTATATAAGGGCAACAAACATCTACCATGAAGGAAATGCAAAGGATAATGGTAACTATAGACTTTCCTGAATGTCTCTCATGCCTGGAAAACAATGTAGTAATTCTACTATTCACCAGGAAGACTGCCCTAGCTAGGAGTAACTGTGGGTTACTGTGAGCTCCTGTGGATTACTAGGCCTTAAATCAATTAAATTAAATGGTGACTATTATAAAACGTTTTGGTTCTAGTGTATTACCATAAATCACGGCAAAGATAATTTCCATATATACACTTCAACTGTGTGTTTCTCTGATGTTCTGTATAATTCCTTTGGCACCACAATATTCTGAGCCCACTGAAGAATTCCCTCAATGGTCTCTATTCTCTGTCAACCTATACTCACATCCTTTTGTCTGGAAAGAAGAGCAGATTGGGGTTTTGCCAAGTAATTAGCTGGATCAGTTAGTACATGAATCTAAAAATATTAACTCAAATTACTGCCTTTTCAGGAGGTGAACAGCTTGCGTTCTCAGTTGGGTGCCAAGGTCAACGTTGAAGTGGATGCTGCACCTGCCGTGGACCTAAACAAAGTGCTAACTGATCTGAGATCTCAGTATGAAACTATGATGGAACAAAATGCAAAGGAAGCAGAGAAGTGGTTCCATGACAAGGTCAGAAAAAGATGACACTTGTGACACTGATGGTATGTATTGAACGATGATTATGACAATATTGTGTGTTCTGTTTAGAGTGACGAACTGAACCAGCAGATGTCAAGCAGTGCCCAACAGTTACAGACCCACAGTACAGAAATCCTTCAACTCAAGCATACTTTCCAAAATCTGGAGATAGACCTTCAGACCCAAAACAGTTTGGTAAATGCTTTTTTTATGTTATCCTTTTTTATCACTTGACCTGCTTTTTCATGCCTGGGTAATATTATTTCAACCCCGTTTTTCTTCACAAGCTATGTATGTAAAGCTCATATCCATGTAGATCCTAGAATAAATGCCATGCTAAGCTCTGATAAGGATGAAAGCAAATGTTTTCGATTTTGTGTTCTCTCATCAAGTAGCGAACACTGATAAAACCGAACATATGTATATGGATTCTTAGCAATACCAAGGAAATCATAATGTTTTGTGATTTACCTATCTACTGTATGTCCAAAAACATTCACTTAAGGAATCACATCATTATACCATAAATATGGAAATCAGAAATGTCAGCCTATTGTCTATTGTTGTCTAATGATAGAAGAAAATTGAGCTGGTACCACAATGAAATTCCCCTAGAAATTCTCATTACCATGTATTCCATAATAATAATTCTGGCTGTAATATAACAAGACAAAAAGTGTAAACAAAAACGTAATAGTTTTGGTGCTTAACATGTTTCCTTAAAAATTTCCTATCAACACAGAAAGCGGCATTGGAGAACAGTTTGGCTGAAACAGAAGCCCGTTACGGTGCCCAACTCGTTCAACTGCAGGATATGATCAATGATGTAGAGGTGAAACTAGCAGAGCTCAGATGTGATTTGGAAAGACAGAACTTCGAGTACAAATCTCTCCTGGATGTGAAGACCCATCTAGAAAGGGAGATAGCCACATATAGGCAACTGCTGGATGCAGAGGACTCTCAGTACGTATATTAACAACCAATGCAATTTTGTAGTACAAAAGATGTGTGTTATGTATGTGTGCAGGGAGGAAAGCTATCCTGTGTTAGCCTGTTGTTACCCCAAACACCAGACATTCCCCTGTCCCTTATTGACAAGGGAAACTCCAATCGCCCCCATCCTTTACTGCCTTGTAAAGCACTGATTATACCTTGTACCCGCACAGCAGTCTCACTAAGTCTGTCCTGACCCTCCACACTATGTCCCATCTTTTAGGTGAGAGAGCGGATCTATCCCCACCTCCATAAATGTATTTGCAATCCTCTTTTGCTGTGGTTCCTCCTCCTTTTTCTTTTTTTTTCCCACCTACCCTCCTCAAACCTTACTCACCTGACCCTTCCTCCCTAGGCGGGTTCTGACAATACATTTCTGTCACTCTTCTAAGGAGTAAACTTCCGCACACCATGTAACTGAACACCAGGCCTATCCGTCCCTTCTCATTGATATGTGTTTCATGTAACACCAAGGGCCTTAACCTTTCAGAGAAAAGATCACAACTCCTATAAGCACTTAACAAACACAAAGCTCAAATAATATTTCTTCAGGAAACACATTTTAGGCCCAATTCCATCCCGAAACCAACTAACAAAACATTCACCTCAGAATACCACTCTAGGAATGCCCAATCTAAAGCCCATGGTGTATCTATCTTATTGTCAAAGCACACCTAATTCCAACTGTCTGACAAGATGGCAAAAGCCTTAGTAAATATATATCGTAAAATCTTGTGTTGGACAGTGTCTAATCATGGTTATGTGGCTTTGTTACAGACGAGCTGGGTGGAATTCACGGAGCACGAGTAGCTACGGAGGCTCTGGCAACGTAGGCGGTATGGGCAGCATTGGCAGCCCTGGAGGATCTGCTGGCATCAGCCTTACCAGCAGTGGAAAACCAAGAACCATAGTGGAAGATGTCAGAGATGGATACTCTCAGTCTAAAAGAGAATAAATGCTGTTATTGAATCCTGGCCATATACACTTGAAGGCTTCCGTATTTTTTGTCCCCCTTTCTTTGCCATGGATGCTGGATTCTGAAAAGGATAGACTTTAGATGAAACAATATAATATACTTTCGTGTATACCAACTGTAATAATGTAAAGTGGAGGGCTTACCTTCAGCAACCAATCATATTTTACCTGCCATTCTTCTAGTTCAAGTGAGAATATAAAAGCTGAAATCTGGTTGGTTAATGATGACAACACCTCCCTTTTCCTTGCATCCAGTTTTTTATACATGAAGTTCTTTTTTTATATGGAAAAAGCACCCTTTTGTGTATTATATGTCACTGGCTAATGGTGGTGCTTTTAGTCTAATCAATAACATCTAAACTACTACCAATATATTTCTTCCATCTGATTAACTGGACAATAATTTTACACTCCAGCACCCTTTTATCTAATTTCCAGACTTGGTCTATCCTATAGTTTATTGTAAGGTTGACTCTGTGGGGGTTATTTACTAAAACTGGAGAGTGCAAAATCTGGTGAAACCAACCCATTTCCAAGTTTTATTGCCAAAGCTTAATTGAACAAGCTGAAGTTAGAAGCTGATTGGCTACCACCAGATTCTGAGTGCTCCAATTTTTGTAAATCCACCCCTGTGCATCTTTTTTTGTAAACTGAACAGCTGTCACGCTATCATCACTGCATTTGAGTTTACCATAAACGCATAATCCTGCTTTTAGGTGTTGTTTTAAGGCCTGGGTTGATAGTCACTGCAAAGAATGTTACTCTGAATCTTTTAATAAAAGTGCTTTCTTATGCAGTTTGTTGTTTGTCTTTTGAAAAATATTCACTAACAGAACTAACTTCATACTACAATGTCAATGTCTTCTCTTTCTCCGGCATCTTATTTTGACAATCCTATAATGGGTTAATACAAAGAGGCATTGGTACAATACTAGCAAAAGAAAAAACACAATATCACACAACTGGAGTCCTGTGATGATGGTGCCCGGTGGGAAAACTGATGCGTTTTGGGAGTTGAACTCCCTTTTTCAAAGCTAAGATGATAGAGAATGTCCATGCCACATACAGTATATAGAGAGAATAACTGATTGAAATCATCACCACACCCCCTCCATGGAAAATAGCCCCACTGCTTGGTCCTAAAGCTATTTTCTGAGTGTGTCACTTCCATTAATTAAATGAATGGAAATAAATGATGCTTGTACAAATATGTGTGCAAACAATGAACTGTATGCTGCAATCACAAATGATATGAAGGCATTACTGTATCTGTTAAGATGTCCCTTGAATGGAGCAGAGGTGGAGATGACCTCCTGGAATCCGTAGTGTGTGGAGACATGTGAAGTGTGGGGCGCACGCTGTGATGGTAGCAGCCATCACTTCGGAAACTGCACATGCGCACCACTGGGAATAGTATAGGGCGCACACGCCATCTCAAAAGCACCCAGAGGGAGGAGCACAGGAAGTGCACCATCTGTAGGGTGGAAGTGCACTGAGAAAACGGGCAAAGGAAGCATGTGACAGCTTCCAAATTGCGCTGATGTTTGTTTTATTGGTAATATACTGTTCACTCCCTTTTTTGATAACAGAGGGACACTCAAATAAGAAATTCTTGCTTAAAAAAAAGAAAAATACCTGTTGATGTGCCAGAAATCCAGTGTGTTTCTAACATACTGTTTGGGCGAAAACAATGGTGGTTTTTCAGCACTGAAATCCCAACGAGTATTGCTAGCCCTCCCTGCTGGACTACAGAATGCCACCTAGCCCATCCCTGTCTTTTCCACAACATTTTCATATATTACAGTGCTGCTGTCTTGACTTTTGAGAGCCTATTTCCACACTTTGAAGGTTACAAATTTGCATTTCACACCACTGGTTTTGGGACCTTGAAGCCAATAGCGCACAATAAAAATAAATTAGGAAAAAAAAAAGGTAGGGGAGAACACAGTCACATGACCTGTCAAAGTTATGTGACTGGCTCTCCTCCACTCACGAAGTTCTGTCTGCTCAATATGGCAACCTGTAAGTTATAAATGGCAAAATGTAGGCCATGCTACTGCATAATACTGGGCAGTAAAAAAACAGATAGCAATATCTACTCTCCAGTATAGTCACGGTGTGCATAGGGAAAGGACTCTTAAGAGAGGTAGTTCTGGGGCATGCCTACATCAGTAGGAACTGAGCTCCTCAGAGCTCAAAGCCTGGGGATGATGTCACAAGGGTAAAGTTGGGTAATGCTCAGATATACACTTTAAAGGAAATGTCAAGTCTTTTCAATTTGATAAAAAGTTTATTGTAAATATCAGTTTGAATGACTGAATCAGCCAACTATTCGCAAACAAAAACAAGGAATTTGATTACTCCAGAAGGAGTGAATTCCCTAGTACATCCTCTACTTCTTGCACTCCATAGCTCTCTTCTTTTCTGGGAGTGTCTCATTACCCTAGCCCTAAGCTCTTGGTAAATCAAATCAATATGTCTCCTCATTTATGAGAAAAAATTATGGGCTTTTTCTCTCTCAATAGTACTACCTAGATAGCCTGTGGCTCTCTATCAAATATGTCAAAACATTGCCCTTCTATAAAAGGTTGAGCAATTAGATTCTGCTCTTAAACCAGCATGTCCATAATTGTGTAAAAAGGGTGACAACTATTAGTGGTGTTTCCACCATGTTCCTTCTTAAAAGTGGCTGTTGCCACTCCACTCCAAAGTGTTATTGTCCATCTACAGAGTGATGTCCAAAAAAGTCAATATCCTCTGTGATGGCCCTGCTTTGAACTATAAGTTACGCACATTGGTGAAAATATACACTCACCTGTTCCGATGCCCTATGCCAGACCAATAATAAGTCATTAATGTAGCAACAGTACTATACAATATGGTCGCCAATTGCATTAGTATCTGCAATGATGTGGAGCTCCTCCACCAGCCCATGGAAGAGAGATGGAAAGAACCTCGATCCCATTGAATTCTAACATCTTTGCAGATAGTGGATCCCATCAGTCATTAAAATAATTTTGACTCAATAGAAAGTCCACTGCCAACACATAAACAACCTCTATTCAACAGATTATGAACTATAATGGGACAGGTAATGTTGTAAAGCCACTAAGGCCAAATTGTGGGAAACGGAGTAATACAGAGCACAAATGTCAGTGGTGACCCACATAAAGTCTGGAGATCATTGAAAAGTCTTCATCTGAAATAAAACTGTCAAATTGTCCTTGATAGGAAGGTTAAGTACTAAGGGCTACATTAAGGAGTCAACCCACCTTCCAGATTCTCCAGCAAGAATCCAATGCCTTGGACGTGAACCTTGGGCAGGTGATGAAAATTGGGGATGAGGTATGATTGTATCTTAAGATACTCCACCATCCCTTTGGGCTATTCTCTCCCCTGTTTCTATAAACTCAAATAAAGCCCTTTGAAACAGAGGAGTAGTATTCTTCAACCCTCAATATACTGAACCCTGACTACATTATCTTAAAGTCTTAATCTTATAAATTATCCAAATTGAAAATGATGTCACACACCCACCCTTACTACATTCTGCATTTTTTATTATTCTGTTATTCTTGAAGGTGTTAATAGCACTTCTCTAATAAATTCTTGATATATCTTCTATTTTTAATCTTCTTTTCCTAATCAAACATTTCAGAGTCACCAGATCCTCCTCTACCAACTCCAAAAAGAGATCAACAGCTACCCTCCATGATAAAGGGGTAGAGGTAGTTACAGTATCACTCGTAGGCAGAGGTTTAGCAGCAACTGATAGTGAATTCTCAGTTGTTGAAGATGCAAAAGTGCCTTTAATTTCAGAAAATAAAACCTAAGCAGGGGCGGACTGACAACTCATGGGGCCCCCGGGCAATAGGGGATCATGGGGCCCCTGTGTCCTTGCCCAAACTCAAAAAAGCCTATGAAAAAGGTACCAGGGGCATCTCATGGGGCCCCCTACTGACCTAGGGCCCTCGGGCAGTGCCCGAGTTTCCAAATGGTCAGTCCGCCCCTGAACCTAAGTTTAGTTCCAACTATGCCTGCCCTTTCCGATACCCTTCTGCATTCATAGAAACTGTATTATATCTTCTATGAATGAAAAACGATCTCATAAATCAAGATGGGCAGATGAATGAAAGGTCTGTCTACTCCAAAAAGAGATAATTTTTCATTCATAGAAGATATCAGGGCGCAAAGGACCCATCATATTGATAGTAAGTCATGTCCCTTGTAGTCATTTTTTTTTTACTAAACATAGGCTTTAAAGGAGAGTGGTTAAGATCAACCTCATTTGTGGTATTATCATATTCACCAAGTAGTTGTTATTCATATCATTAAAGTTTTTCTTTAGAACAAATTTTCACGCAAATTTATTGACATCTAAAATAGTACTTAAGACATCAAAATGGCTAGTAGGCTTGAATGACAAGACTTTCAATGTTAACAAATCATATGTTCCTCTGTTTTCAAGAATATATCAGTTAAAGTAGGGACACTTATTTGCTGTCCTTGTTGAGTTGATTGTTTTATGCTTCTGTGCCCTTCTTTGCATTATTTCCTGTTATGTCTTTTTTTATTATTTACAGATAATGATGAGCCAGATCAAGTTCATGGCCTTAAAGAAAGTTTGCAAACCCCATTGAAATACATTTTCTAGGCTAATAGGCAAGGGATTGTCAAACAAATGCAATAGTAGGCCAGACAATGCTCTTGACAACATGTACCAAAGCAGAAAATTTAAAAAAAATTCCATCTGAAGAGAAGCAGAAATTTGCTTAAAGGGCAACTTTAAAATGCAATATTTATTTAAAAAAAACAAGCTTGGGGGATGCCCTTAACCTGCCTGTTAAGTAGCTCATCTCTACAGTCTATGCAACCTACTACAGCAAAACTGGTATTTACAAAGAAAGAAAATTCCATGCCTTAAAAATAAGCCCCCCATCGTGAATGGGTAAGGGGTGCATAATACATAGTACCCCTTAC